GGGGTGCAAATTACTGTAGGGATTTTAAGATATCTGCTGATGCATTATTTATTACAATGCGGGGTCTATCCTTATATTATGTCTATGTACGGACCGACACTGTTGTCACGGTTGCGTAGAGACGGACTCTACGCAGCCGCGGTGAGGTGCTGTCAACCCGCATTTATTTACAACATCCTCGGCCCGACACCGTAATTAGAAGTAAAACCTCTCATAAAGATACAGACGTGAGAGAAAAGACGCAAATCCTAGGTTGAATAATGTTAGTGAGGATGAACACAGGCAATTAAACAAATGTGTCAATGTGGCGCAGTGTGCTGCTGTATGAATGGATCAGGAGAGGAACTGCAGACCCGTCAGAACCTAAAACACTTGACATCAGCGTCTCTTCATCCTTCAATCATCTCCTGAGGCTGATATGGTACAGAACATTTTGCTGTGAGTAAGTTTCTTATTTTGCTTTTACTGGTGTGATTATTTGCTTATTTAATGTATAATAAAATCAGCCAAAATAATACAAATGGTCATTTAAAGAACAAGACATACAAATAGATTAACACTAAATACATACATATTTCCTACTTTAAAAGGTTTGTTAGGGCTTTCTGTGGGTTTTATTTTGAAATGTTGATATATTTTATGAATTCATTGTTCAGTGGTCATTTAATGTATTATTAATGCCCCAGACACAGACCTGCAGCCCAGGGGCGGTTCTAGATGGGGGCCAACGGGGTACCAAAGAAGTTATACTAAATAAATGTCTCAGTGGCCCCCCTGTGGTAAATCTGGTCTAGAACCAACCTCCAAACCTAACTCCTTATTTCTATGTAGTAAGATTCTTTACAGTACCAGAATGTCCACATAACTTTTATACTTTTGGCTGTCTGAAGACAGCCAAAAGTATAAAATCAGGTGTTATATTAAATCAGGTGTTATGATCAGTTAATCAGTACTTGAGCAGTTTACCAAATACTTTTTACACTTGCTTAATTAAATGTGTTTTTAAGGTATGCTACTCTGATTAGAGTACAATTTCAGGGTCCTCTAACCAACTATGCATGAACGATTGCTCTACGGATCACTTTTTAAAAACAAAAAACACTGCCATAAAATAACGTCTATCACTGCACGTCTCACCCCATGAGAGTAGGGCGACACGCCGTGGGGAGCGTCCCTTATTTTAATTTCTGAAAGGTGGCAACCCTATCTGCCAGTCTCTTAGAAGGTTGTAAAATGTTATCTTTTATATAAAAATTACAGCATAAAGATAAAAAAAGCCAAAAAAAAAAAAAAAAACAGACAAACAATGCTGAATAGAAAGAAAATAGAAACACATATTTTTCACCTCATAGACGTTGAACTGATTCTGCCCCCTGGACAGCTCTCTGTAGCTTGTGGTAAACTCTCCAATGAAGTCGTGGCTGCAGACAGAAAAAAAAAATGTATAAAAACAAAACAAAAATCAATTGTCTATTCAAATAGGCAAGCAAGAGACATCATTTTATAATCTAAGAGGAGTTGATGTGTCCTTAATTTTGCCAGAGGTTTACCACATTTCTTTTCTTTGAAGAAATAACTTTTAAATCAGTTTGCTTTTCTCAAAATCTTCGCCAGAAACACAAACACACACAATAGAAAAAGGCTCTTACCTTCCATCTCGATCCCAGTCGTACACGTCCACCTTCACAGTCCTAAAAAAAAAAAAAAATTAACATGAAACTTTATTTGGTAATTTCCACCTAACCACACAGCCTCATGTCAGTTAAAAAGAACAGCAGGTTCTGGTTTAAGAGGAAGGGGGAAAAAATCTCTCCATCATAGCTGGAGCAGATAAACAATTATATATTCACTGAATAAATGATAAATCACACTGAAGAGTGTTGGCACAGCAGGTACTGGTGATTATCTGAACTCTGGGCCCAAATTAGTCCAGAGAGAGAACAATTTTGACATGTAGGAGAGAATCATTTGTAGTTGGCATGCATTAGCATAAAAGTTATTTCAGCTTCATGTTAATTTTTTCAGTTGTGTGATTTGAACATCACATTAGTTGGTTAAAGTATTGCATGTTATTGAAAGTCATTAGCATAGACAGCAGAAAAATGTGAGCACATTCTGCTCTGACTGCAGGAAGGACTTACACATGGCAACCAGGTGGTAGGTGAGAGTTTTAAGACACAGCAGAAGCTCTGTAGAGTAATCTGTTCAGTAATCCCTTTTGAAAAGGGATTACTGAACCAGAACAAGGAAACTTAGAAATGTCCTTGTTCTTTTGTAGACAATTTCAGAAATTAATAATCTCAGACCACTATTTGTAGTGTTTGCACAAAAACTGTGAAAACTCCAGCAAGTGACTTGTTGCTTGATGCAAACTTTTAAAAGTATGGCTAGCCTCAGCCTTACAGCAGGTAGCCAGCAGGAAAAGACTAGGAAATACAATGTTATGCCCATTTAATCTATTTTGATGTGCTGAAATATAGACAATATTGTTGAAAATTTTGCACAAAAAGTTAAGATACCTTTGTGAAAAGGAGTAAGCTGATGAAGCCGACAAGTAATGAGTGTTTGTAGCTTCAAAAGGTTTTCTGTGATTCTGTGAAAGATGCACATTGCTGCGAATCATCTATCTTCTATCTTGAGAATCACACAGCCTGAGCAATCTCCATTAAATGTTATAAATTGTTGGTAAACTAAATTTGGAAAGTATTTTAAGACTTAAAACAACAGAATTTAGGGGCCACATGCTTTGAAGAACCCAGACTGTGTTAACCTTTTACCCCTAACCCATGACGAGTTGTTTCGGAAAACTTCGGCTTTTATTTCTCACATTATGACTTTGCATTTTTGTGTTTCATGATGTAAAGAACTTTAAAATGCCTTGTTGCTGAAATGTGCTATGCAAAAAAAATTTGATTTGACTTTAATTTTTATTATGAGAAAACAACCGAGGTAATTGTTTTGTAAAATTGAAAAATATGAACAAAACATGAAACTGCAGTAGTATCACTAAAAATTATGATGACAAATTAATATTCATTAAAATAACTCATTAATAGCATCCTTCCTTTTTCCATCTGCACTATAGAGTAGAATTTTAATCTGTGGCAGATATTGCAAAACTTCATCAAGGCCTCTGAAGTTCAACTTAACGTAGGTGATTTTAGGATTCTTGTAAACCAGTAGGGTGATGCTATAAATTAAGCATTCTGTCTGCTTCACAAAATAAACTGATCTATTGTAAGATAATGTCTTAATATTAAAAAAAAAAGTATCTGCCCTTATCCCCATTATGCAAAAATCTTTGTCTATTTGTAGTTTGGAGATTGTTAATGATGAATGAATGTTTATTAATAAGCAAATATGACAAATATGTTGAATAACCAAACTAATAAAGAGTTGTAGTGAAGCGAGGCTGAGTGGGATCTGTCTGTATTCGTCTCTGCCATAAACTGCTGATGGGAGCAGCTCTCAATTTATTCCAGTGCGCTGTGAGAGCCGACTGTCAGACATGAACTCATGTAGTGTTGTTCTATATAACTGCATGAAAAAAATTCATATCTGTAGCTACATTTTCATCTATAAACTCCTAAAAGTAGCGTTCAATTGGCCAGATCCTTGCATCAAAGCTGTAAGGCGCATCACTTAACATTACACAAGCATCTGCTGTTCTAAAGGGTGGATACTATGTGGTACTGTAACACCGTGCGGCCGCTGAAAACACTGTGCCCGGTTCGGCCCGATTGGTATGTATGAGACGGCGCTGTGTGAACACTGAGTCAGTCTCAATAACACCAGTGCTGGTCTCTGGGACACCATGACCGACTGCTGGCATTATTCTGACCGCCCCAGTAACAGGTGATGTCATCCATTTTAAAAGTCAACTTGAAACTTGTCCCTATTTAATCACATTTTTTTAAGACTTGAGTGCTTCTCTCTTAATTTAAAAACATCAACAAATTTGTGAATCCTGGGATAATAAAACGGTGCGAATATTCCCGACCTGTCATAGTCGCCGTTGCAGAGAGCTCTGACGGGGATGGTGAAGGGCTGCCACACCGGATTCAGCGTGTTCTTGATCACCTCCGTCTTGTGGCAGATGGTGAACCTGCCAAAAGAAAATGAGATATGAGGCGATAAAAAGAGCATGCAGATAACTGTGGGCAGATCATTACGACACTGTGTTAGAAAATTCTAGATAGAAAAAAAGGAACAATAAATCTCTGCCAAGAAACTCAGAAATTTTCTAGAAAAACAAAGAAATTTCTGAGTTTGAAAAGTCTATATTAATCTTGAAATCTTTGAGTTTTTTCTAGGAGATTTTTGACTTTTCAAACTCAAAAAATGTCCAAAAGTTTTCAACTCTTGAATCTCAGAAATCTCCATGTTTTTTCTAGAAATTTTCTGAGATTAGTCAAAAAAGGTTTTAAGCTTTTGTTGTAGAAAATTAAACTTTTCAAACTTAGAAATTTCCTTGTGCGTTTGTAGAAAATTTCAGAAATTAATAATTTTCTGGTAGAAATATACTATTTGTCTTTTCCCAGCTACAGTGGCCCTAATAATCCATCGCAGATAATTCTACCTCCTGTATTTTTCTCTGTAATTCGGCACAAAGCTTTCAAGGCGACTGTGAAGGTTTTTGCATAAGTACTTTTGTGAAACAGAAAAACTGCAGATGAATATTTATTGCTGCAAACATCTCCAAAAGGCACATCTGTGGAAGAAAGTAAAAACCTGAAAAAAAGATGGTAAAAACTGCATTAGAAGAAACAGGCGGCCGAGTTAATTTATGTTCAAAAAGTAAATGTGGTAATTGGTGTCACTGAATGGATGCTTGGTATGTAAAATCTCCCGGTGCATTCCCAGCACATCTCTGTTATTTTTTAAGCCTGGACTGCGCAGCACCAGTGACTGCTGAGGTTCACTGCTTCCATCAGCGTTGCCTATTAGTAATGGTGGTACTTTGGGATAATTGCCTATAAAGGTTTCTCTATGCAGCCTTATCCTGTGATCCCTAAAGTTGAACGAGCCTCAGCTTTTTTAGTTAACAATGCGGAACTGAACATGATTGACTGGATGCATTTAGAGATACTCAACATAAAATACTCAATGAGGTTTTTCAATGTTGGACAGCCGGAAAAATCAGTATTAAACACATCAGTTTTTTCTCAGTAAACATAATTTTACTATTTCTATTGAGATGAAATTTACACCATTTGTCAGCACCAACACATGTGATATAAAGCACACTAACTGATTACTTTGTAAATTAAGACATGTGCAATAAAGTGGAAAGATATGGGCAGTAGGCACTGAAGAGATGAGGACAAACATCTAAAAGCAAAGTACCAAGATGCTATTTGTCAGTTATTCAGAAAGCTTCCGGTTGCTGCGTGCAAATGAATATCAGATGTTTTAATATTATCTTTATAAAAAGCTTTCCTATTATCAAAGTTTTGCTCAGAGTGGTGCTACAGGTAAAAGCAAAGAGACCTTCACAAAAAAGACTCAGTGTTGCAAAGAATACTAATGGCATTAGATCTGCATTTCTAAACCTCTGAATGTGAGAACCGCTGTATTCACAGAGAAAAGCACAAAGTTTCACCAAATACCAGCCACAGACAGGTATACGCATTGAGGTTGTTTTACAGAGTAAAAACAACAATAAAAACAGTTACCCAAAAGACAGCAATATTAATATTTAGTTAGCAAGTTAAATATGTAGATTACAAACTAACTATTTGGGTGATTCTCCAAATTTGGTGCCTTTTGTGTATGGAAGTGACATCAGTGAAGTCTCTTCCTGCTCACACTGTAAAGAGATTTAAGTCTTAGGAAAGTGTCTTACCTATATTTGGTTATTTTTTTTTACCCAAATGTCGTCATCGTCAAGCTCAACCTTTCAACCCTGTTACGCACTTAGACGATATTTATTGTTGTTTGGGAAAAAATAAAAAATGGTCTTTGAAACATATTAATTTCTTGTTTTCATCGTATCATAATGTTGCTCCATACCCTAGCTGATGTGAACTTATGGCAACTTTTAGTGAAACTCTTCAACCCTGTAACATTCAACCCAGTTACAAAAATAGTGGTTTTATTACGAGGTTGAATGTTGGACTGTTGTAAAGCCAGGCAGAGTGTTCAACCCCGTAACAGTCTGGTCAACTTTTACACTGGGATCAACCCCGTAACGCGATACATTGTTGTACTTTTTTTTTTTTATATATATAATAACAGCAAATATTAGACTAATATCTGTTGGACTGTATGCAAAGTTTGTCCCTAGTTTGTCCTTGTCCCTAGTGGGGTTGGGAGGGTTGCTGGTGCATATCTCCAGCCAACGTTCCAGGTGAGAGGCGGGGTCACCCTGGACGGGTCACCAGTCTGTCGCAGGGCAACCCAGAGACAGACAGGACAAACAACCATGCACACTCACACCTAGGGAGAATTTAGAGAGAACAATTAACCCGACAGTCATGTTTTTGGACTGTGGGAGGAAGTTGGAGTACCCGGAGAGAACCCACCATGCACAGGGAGAACATGCAAACTCAATGCAGAAAAAACCCAGGCCGGGAATCGAACCCAGATTGCTGCAAGGCAACAGCTCTACCAACTGCATCACTGTGCCGCCCAGCTTTATTCTAAATTATGTTCATTTCTTTCCTCAAAATTCTACATAAATATCCCATTATGACAATGTGGAAAAAAGTTTGAGACTTCTTGCAAAATAATTAAAATTTAGAAAAGACCAAGAAATTAAATTTACATAAGTGTTCACAACCTTTTGTAACCAGAGTATTTTTTTATTTATTCAGTTATTTATTTATTTATTTATTTATTTATTTATTTATTTATAATTTGTTGATCCACCTTTGGCAGCAATTAGTGCTGCTGTAACAACCCTGTTCCTTGCAAACCGAATCACTTAATTACTTTTGGTTGGTTAACATTCATAAGAGTTTGCGTCCAATCTGAACCATCCATCCATTCCATTGTTCAAACTTTAAAAGTAAAAGAGGCCCGTCCAGCCACCCTGATGAGTCATACTCACGTTCCGTCTTCATTACTGCGATAAAACACCAGGAAAGGGTCAGACTTTCCGAAAAAGTCTTTCTTATCCAGCTTGTTGGCACACAACTGCATTGTAGCGATATCCTGACAGAGAAGACAAGCAGGTTTTCAACATAATGGTTCTGATGCAAGTTTTTTTCAAACGGGGCAACCTCTTCTCCTAAGGCAGACATTTTCTGTCAACTAGTGCAGAAACTTGGTGCAAGACTTTGGCAGAATAGGTTTGGAAAGTGATTGGCAGAAAAAAAATAAAAAAAGTTATCCATGGTGATTTATGCAAAACATTAAGAAGGATCATTATGAATAGTTTGGTAATTTTTGCATAAGAATTGCACAATTTATTAGGGAGGAAAATAAATGTCTGCAATATAGTGAAGGAAGCAGAGAGAGATCGTTTCATACATATGTATGAGTGGCTATGGCTGTTAATGAGGAGCTGTGTTGTTCCTGCTTCTGCGCAGAGATGCCTGGGACAACCGAGGCAGGCAGGCAGGCAGGAAGGAAGGAATTAAAGATAGACAGATAAATAATTAGACCTTTTAGTTGATTTCTCCTGAGGGAGAGCATCTTGGGAAAACCCTAAGCTGCAACTGACAGCAATTGGATCTTGTTAGGGAGCAAAAATCTCCCAGAGTAGCAATGGTAAACACGACTAAGATAAGCCAGTTTATATAATGATCTCATGAGCGCACACATGTGCACGCAGAAATTCTCCCAAGCATCTGATCGGCTGGTTGTGGAGTTAATACATAAGTGTGTCGGGGAGGTTTTTGGGGGGGTACTGTGAAATTGGAGGGAAATTTTGCTTCGCAGCAGAAAACCGTCTTGACAGTTTATCTGAGACCCGTTTAGAGGAAAGTGGAGCGCTCTAGCTAATGAAACGTGATCTGTTTAACCTTGGATGGGGTAGGAGGAAGTGGTGTGTGCAGACACATTTTTGGGGGCATGAAGGAAGGTGCTCCAGTGGGGAGGAAAAGGGCAGCTTGTGAAAATGCAGAATTGATGTGAAATTTATACAACGTTACAAACATGTGAGGCACTGTTAAAATGGGCTTTAAAATCCAGAAAATGATGCATTGGGCCCCTCACAATACACTCTTTTTCTGAAAGAAAAAAAAGAAAAAAAAAAAGAAAAAAAAGATTTCAGAAAGGCATTGTTTTTTTTTTTTTTTTGTCTGGAGCGAAAAAAGGGCATGGGCCCCTCCTACGGTCTGTCTGTGTACAGCCCTGGTAGGAAGTCTGGGGAGTTCTGCAATAAAATGTTCTCGCCATGTTTATATGTACTGGGATTTGTTGCTGCGTGTGTACACAGACAACGGCAAACTGCTACAGCGACTTCATAAATATTGCAATAAAAATGTAGAATATTCAGTCTGGATTTGGGTATGTTGATGAGTGTGCACGCGCGTGCGTGTGTACTGACCCTGCAGTTACTGAGCTCCTCCGCTGCCAAAATTATGACTCCACACTTCTTCCCTGGTATCCCACTGAGATTATAAAGAGAAAGAGACAGAGATGCAGTAACTGTATCGAGGCGTGAATAATAAAAATAGAAAGCAGATGTCATTCATAGCTAAAAGCTGTTATTGTGCCAGCAGACAGCCCGGCGTGCAGTTACTTGTTTCCCAGAAAAAATTCACAGAGGGACTCACACTTACTCTCTAATGGGCGAGTCAATTCTAAAAATGGATTATAAGTGGAAATTAGACGACATACCCAATGCCATGCAACACGAAAATACACATTTGAAACCAAAAATATACACACTTTAAGATCATTTTTGTCACCAACATTAAATTTGGACAATTTTTTTTGTGTTTTTACTTCAGTTAGGGTTAGAAAAATGATTTATCTTCGTTAATACAAAAAAATGAGGAAATAATTTAAAATGATTTTTTTTTTACTGTCTTTTCATTCAAAATTGCTTCCTCACTGTTTAAACTGGGATAAATGCTTATGGTATTCCAGCAATGGCTTACTGGAATATTGGACCATTCAATATTACCAGTACCAGTGAGATTTTGGGGACTGAGATCTGTGGCTTTCTGAGTCCAAAATAAGAAATTTGTTGCCCTTGAGCTACTTTGGTAATAACTTGACAGTTTGTTTACATTTGTTGCTCCTTCAAAAAACCTGTCGGTGTTCGAGCTTTAACATTGCCAGCTGTTTTCATGAGATGCTGCTGTAATATTTTCACAGGATTCTGGGCTATTAAATGACCTGTTGCATGTTGCCATTGATTTAAAGGCATTTATTTTCTTACATTTTTATATTAAAAGAAACCAGGCCGGGAATTCAGGACTTTAATTTTGAATAATTAATTACATAGATTTTATCGTTTTAAAATTTTTAAACACAATTATTTGTACTTATACGCACCAATGCAAAGATTCCGGCTGGAACTTTTGTATTGCTGGGTTTCTGGTACACTCATAAACATGACACACCACAGTAATTGACCTTTTGGCTCACAGGAAGATAAGTTTTGCTTATGGGCCACCGGAAAAGACTGTTGTGTTCAAGTTGTGCTAAAAGACGTTAGCCTAAAATAGAATTTCAATGCTAAACATGTAGCAGCAGAACATTAGCATGCTAACATCCACGGTCAACATTACTGAAAAAGTTTCATGAATGATCATGAACGCTTATTGGATAGAATAGCATTTTAATATGATGGCTGAATAACCTAATTAACATTAAAAACTAATATTTTTGTTGTTTAGCTCATATGTCTATTTATTCAATAATCTACTCATAAAAGGGGTTTTTGAAATGAAATTATTGCATATTTTGTCAACGTATGGTTTTTGATGACAATGAGATTTAATAAACTTAATAAATTACCTTTATTAAAAATGTAATCAAGGCACACCACTATCAAAACACAAAGAACATCTACACTGTCGGCCCCCACTCACAAGGGGATTTCAGTGTCATAAAACAGCAAATAAAGGAAATATTTTAGAAATTCAACCAGATTTAAATTTCTGATGAGCCTCATCAGGACATTAATCCCAAACATGTGTTTCTGATTAAATAAAGCAACATCATGGCAGAAAAATAGGTTATCTGATGAATAAGTATAAATGTGATATTTCAAAAATGCAAATAAGTCATCTTTGCATAAGCGGAGCGGTGGACCGTATTTTGCATTTGTCTTCTGAGCAGAATGAGTCACACACAGAAATAAAAATGTGTTCGCTCAGGTGTGTGCAAACATGCATGCGTTCTTTGCATAACAAGGTATATATTTAGTTTCTAGCAAGTGTTCAAAGATTGCGATTGCTTCTTTGACTTTTCCTGTGTTTTTTTGTTTCGGTCCTATTTAAAATGACATCAAATGTGAAGCCTCGAGATCAAAAAGAATGCAGTGAAAGTACAAGGTGAGTGATCTGCCAAAGAACGCTGCACAAAAACACAAAACCATCTACGAAAACAGAAACGGTGCACGCCTTAAGAACGGACGGGAGGCGCAGCAGCAGCCGGGGAGCGAGGGAGGCGAAGTGAGAGGATAATTTCAAAGACACCAGGGCACAAAAGGGCCAAGCCTGAGTGCTGCTTCATTATCTTTTTTTAAAGAGTTGGAGAAGGAGAAATAAGTGCAGGATGAATGAAGACAGAAAAAGAGGCTGAGGTAGAAAAAAACAAGGGAGAAAAAGATAATAATCCCATGAGATATTTTCAACTTCGCCTTCGCCTTCACAGTAATTTGTGCTGGGTGACTGTTTCAGCCTCTCGCCAAAATGAGCAAGTTATCTGTTGGCAGAATGCTGCAAGGAAGCACGGTTGGTCCGAAAGACAATGTCTGATTAAAATGTTCCACTTTGAGGAGAAAACTAAAGGGCTTTTGCAACCATTTCATAGAATATCCTGCATTTTTATCATGTTCACTTGAAATCTAAAGCAGATCTAGCAAACCAAAGAGAAAAAGTGGACCTGATCCATTCATCTCAACTTGGGAGCAACAAGCCGGACCGTACTGGACAGCTTCCTGGTTAGACTGCTCCCAGAATGGACATTCATGCTCCACTGTTCTGTTTGTAAACAAGCTAACTCAAGATGCAGTACCACCAAAACATACACTGAGCATGAAATTGAAAAACATGTAATTACAAAAATAAATATGTTAATGCTGGGGTACGTAGCTTATGTAACTTTGATTAGAAAAAGTTTTTGGTAACACTTTATTTCAAGGGGGTTGAATAAGACTGTCATGACACTTTCATAAACATAACACCTGTCATAAACATGAATAAGCTTTCATGAATATTTATGACTGTTGTCATAAAGCATCATTTGGTAAATTATGACACTTTTAATACAAAGTTGACATTATTCAAAATGTCTTTGTTGTGACAACTTGACATTAACCAAGAAATCATTACTGATATAAATTTTTTATAAAAGTATTACTGATTGCACTTTAAAAATTAGGTAACTTTATGTTATTAAAGGTAAAGTTTAAACAGTAATGATTTCGTGGTTAATGTCAAGTTGTCATAACAAAGACATTTTGAATAATGTCAACTTTGTATTAAAAGTGTCATAATTTACCGAATGACGCTTTATGACAACAGTCATAAATATTCATGAAGGCTTATTCATGTTCATGACAGGTGTTATGTTTATGAAAGTGTCATGACAGTCTTATTCAAATAAAGTGTTACCAAGTTTTTTTTTACTAATTTGTTAAATCTGTCACTATGTCATGACAGTATGAGACAAATAATGTGAAGAAATACTCCTCTCCTGGTCAGAAACAACCAATCAGAGCCATGAGGAAGGTTTTAGTGCTGTCAATCAGGCTAGTGTATGCCTATTTATGCTAATGGCGGAGAAACAACTTACCGTTGCAGGAAAACCGTTTAGCCGCCATCATCGGAGGCTATCATAACAAGCTTTAGAATTCATGACAGGCTCACCTGACGGGAAGAAGCTGTAGCCTAGTAGAGGGTTTATCATGCATGCACACAAACATGACTGACAGCACCAAGACCCTCCTCCTGGCTGTGATTGGTTGTTTCGGACAGATCGGAGTATTTCAGCAGTTAGCACTGAGAGAAGGCAGAGGAATTAGATATTTTTCACAGATTATCTGTCTCATACCAAACCATTAGAACATAGTGAAAGTTTTAGCAAATATGTAAAAAAAACATATTTGTTTATAAAAGTGACATATATCCAGCTTTCATGAAAACAAACCAACTTTGAAAATACATTTTTTCTTAAAAGGTTTTGGCTTTAGGATGGGGTGACTTTTCAGCAATATCATAATTAGTGTATTTTTGCAAAACTGCAATAGAAACACTTATCACAGCAGTTTACATAGCAAAGTAGACACTAGCCTCCTTGGACTACACACAGCTAGCTCTACCAGTGGACTACCAGCATCAAAAGTCAACTTTGTGTTTTAGAAAGAGTTGAATCCACAGCTCTTCTATAAAATCGCTGACTACAATTTTCCGAAAAAATCTCATATATGAAGACACTCCCAATTATAAGGGGCTTTTCACTCCAATGCCTTAATAAGACGGCAACATGGACCCTATGGACCCCTATAGACCCCTATGGACCCCTATAGACCCCTATGGACTCTGATGGATCCCAATGCCACTATAGAGAAGGCTGGTTTGCATCATTAGATGCACTTCAGGTTGCTATTCGATGATTAATGACTTCCTTCAGAATAACAGATTATCTTACAGGTTTGATCTAAAAAATAAGAGAATGTTTATGTTACAAAAATGAGAGGTTTCTTAGACTAGATCCAATTTCAATGTTTGGCATCACTGAGAAATAAGGATGATGTACAATGGCAATCAACGTCTTTCAATGATGGATGCTTGTTGATTTTTAGCTTGAAATTGTTTTCTGCATCACTGTTCTGACATCAGAATAACAAGATATATTTTCTAAAAAAAAAAAAAAAACCTTCTTGACTTAGAAATACTGACCATTATCGAAAATATATATATAACTTATGTTTATATATCAATTAAGTAAATGAAACAACTTTTTAAATTGAACCTTGTTTCTATCAGTTATATTCTGAATTTTTGTGTGTTTTCCACTTAACTTTGCTATCGTTCTGTCTTACAGTCTCAATTATACGCATTTCATTATGTTTGTTAATGTAATAGCTAAAATTATTAATGTTAACACCATTTGTTTTAGTTGTAATTATCCAATTCATAAAGTATATTAAAAAGATTTGTCTACTCAATATTTTTGAATAATAAATTGTCACAAATTTTAAGTGAAAGTTAGTTTTAATTGTTACATTGGCTCAAAATGCATTATTGTTTCTTTCAGAAAATCTTAATTTCTGCTGTAATTTATCAGATACATTAATTACAGCAGGTAAAATAATATTTGAAGACATCACAATCTTTCACAGTCAACATATTTCTAAAGAGAATATTGACATGAAATTTTCAGCAGCTGTTGGTAACAACACGAGTAATCCGTACGTGGAAAGAAAGCAAAA